GCGTACCGCCAAAGCCTCGAACCTTGGGCGAGGCTGAAATTTCATGCGGGATGGTCGGGCTGGACTAGGCCACCCACCATGGCGGGGGGGGGGGGTGGCCAGGCTGAGGTGTGGATGCCTCGGCGAATTTTGACAACCACCCATATATACTCCCTTATATAACCTCTACCAGATCATAAGTTGCGGCAAGGCTGGCAACTCTCGATGGCAGACGTCGACACTTGATAGGCCTGTGTACCATAGAAGCCTGAAAAAAGTGGGCTAGGCTGAGTTGCGATATCATCCTTGTGTAAACCCTCCCCAAAATTACAAATCTGGCATATGGAACCCAAAAGTCAAGTTAGAACTGTGTAGGCCCCTATTGTAGGGTGCAGGTTTCAGAACTTGTGGTCCAGGGTGCATTTCCGAGATACCAGCGAGGACCCACAAGTTGTATAGCCTGGAGAAACCTGACCCTGAGAGCATCCTTTGTATGCTGTTGGGGTAAGGGTTATATAGGGGTTATATAGAGATAATGGAAAAGAAGATGGAAGCTGTCATTTAGGGCTTAGGGGCTTACATCCCTTTGAGGAGCCTCCTCCCTTCCTTGACTCCATCGCTGCGCGCCCAAGGTCTCTGAGATCTACTCTCTCAGCAAATAACATGGAAGCCCAACAGGGGCTCTACACAGACTAGGGTTTCAGGGCTTAGGGAAAACGGTTATATAGCCATTTGCGATTCCATGTGGGTTTTGGGGGGGTTCGCTCGAAGCTCGTGCAAGAAAGTATCGGTACGCAATGAAACCCTAAACCCCATATTGTGGATGGAGGAAATCTTGCACCTCATAGGACCCCCGATATACTGTAATTCCTAGGACTTCAGGGACTTGAGGTGGTGCAAGATAGCCTCCAGCCACAGTAGGGGTGCAAGGTCCTGAGGTTCTGAAGTAGCAGAGCCCTCTTCTTGAGCAGGGCTTCGGGTATAGGACATGTTAGAACAGAATTTGTCCATCTCCATTACTCCCTGGGGGCCCCGCAGCCTGCATGAGGTTGCGCATTGTCTTCGAATATTTTTCCACAGCTTCTACTCTAAAGCCTAAGCCTCATATACCCTAACCCTTGGCGCCCCTACAACATCCTACATCCTGTTTGGGGTTTATGGGCTTGAGGTCACAATGCATGCCTAAGAAATAGTGAAGGCTGGCCTAGGGGCGTAGGGTTGCCTATGCTTATCCAATATGGTCCGCCGTAGACTTACTTGCATGGTGCGTTTACAGACATATTGGGTAATTAAGCACACTGAAGGTATTAGATGGACTGAACGAAAAGCTCAACCCTAAACCTTACAGGAGCCTCCCAAACACTGCAACAGCAATTACATTTAAAAGTCTCGCAACTACTAGTTAAAGGACTTGTAACAATACTTATCCTTGTAACTTAGGGGGGCCTTCCTTGTAGGAGCTTAGGGTTTAGGGGCCTCGGGATTTACATAGAATCCACCCTAAAACCTAAACCCTAAGCCCCAAAATAGACTTCAGATCTCACTCCACCGCGACTCAAAAGATCCAGGACTCTTTCAGTACCGAATAGCCCTTACTGCAAGGGTTTAGGGTTCAGGGTTAAGGGTTTGGGGTTAGGGTTTAGGGTAGGCCCTTACCACAAGGACCTACCAACACTAAAGTGCCTAGGCTCCTCATAGAATTACGGTATTATGGTATAAGGTGCTTCATCTCAACATCCTGGGTTCTCAACATCCTGGGTGATTATGAGCCCTCAGCCCTAAACCGCGGACATTAGGCCCGAGACTCGCAATGATGGAGCCCGAAAGACCTGCCCGACAAAGGCCGCAGCCTGTAAATCCTACCCGAGGCACTTCCGCCGCAAACACTTAAACCCTTTTCCGAGAGGCTTGCGCGACTTCACGGACGACCAGGCACTGGCCAACGATGCCATCGATGCTCAGGCAGGCCTTAATCCGCAGCCGAAAAACGGCCGGTTCTTCATAGGTTTCATAGGGTTAAGGGGTTTGATTAGAGGTTTCCGGTGAAAGCTTTGAGGTGGTACCCTACGTCTGGGCCATGGTTCTTTTTTTTCCAAGGTTTGGCTCCGCCCTGGTTTGGCTCCCCTGGTCCTCTGGTCCCCTGGTCCTCTGGTTCCTGGTGCGTTGGTCCCCTGGTCCTGGTCCCCTGGTCCTGGT